CCATGTATTGAAATAGAGATCGTCTAGCATAAATTCCTACGTTTATATGTTCATAATATGGGCTGTCCTATATCGATTGATAATTTACTACTAGACAACGATGCTGTCTCGTACCAAACTTATGTCAAAATGTTGAGATAAGAAATGACCTCCTTTATGTTTAAAAAGTTGTGATTTCTACAGAAAGGTTATTATTAAAAAGAAACGAAATCTCGAGGTTGCAAAGAGACTATGAACATTATATAAGTAGGCATATTCCAGGAAGCAATTTGTGAATATTATTATAAAATGTTTAGCAATTTAACAATTATCAGTTTATAGTTTATTTTTTAAAAAAGGAAATAACATTTCTATGAGAAATGAAGAACAAAGATGTAATCTTGGAATGAATCTCCAATGAATCTTTGTTTGGAATTGGAATATTATTTATGGTCACCTGTGGGCAGGATTGTTTTCACAGCGTGAAGGTTATATGACTGGATTTATTTTCATTTATACAGCGTGAAGGTTATATGACTGGATTATCTCCAATGAATCTTTGTTTGGAATTGGAATATTATTTATGGTCACCTGTGGGCAGGATTGTTTTCACAGCGTGAAGGTTATATGACTGGATTTATTTTCATTTATTTTGGAGCGCCATTTGTGGAACCACTTCTACATAGAGTCGAGACCTCGCTGGAAAGTTGAGGAGGCAATTATCGGGTCTGAATGGGACACCTGAAGACACAATACAGCAAAATTTTAAGAGAAGCATCAGACTCTATTTACAAGGAAACGGAGAACATCTCGAACAGCTATCGTACAATAATTTGTTGCATTTTTTGTGGACACTTGCAAACGGGACAATCGCAGTTTACGTCTTTAAATATCACGGCCTTCTTCTCTACGACTTCTATCTTATGTATCGTTCGGATTGAGTATCGCCGTCTAGCCCCGCTGCTTAGGCTGACCTCCTTTCGTTCGTGTAAGGAAGTTTGTTCGCGTGCAGGGGTATTTTAACCGATTTTTAATTGTCAATAACAAAACAAAGCCGAAAACGCAATTTTTTATGCTTAATTTTCGTCTTATTTCGGCTTCAAGAATAGCCTCCTAAATTTCCTGGCACCTGTAGCCGAATACCCTATATATTTGCCTATATGCGCATGAATTTCTTGCACAGAATCATCGATGTATTTATTTTTATTGCTAATATAATATTATCAATAAGTATCTCAAACATTTTAGAGTTGGAATTCTCAGGGATCATATTTCCCATTACTTCCTTATCCTGTCGTTATACATTCTATGGTTTAGATTCCCTGTTAAATAATCTAAATTCCATTCTTGCCACACTTTTCCTTTTCCATTTCTTCCTCTTTCCTCTTCCATTTCTTACAAATGGTGCAAACAACCCCCTATCTTGATATTTAAAGTTGTCGCATAATGTCATTTTTGGTAATTATGTGCAACAGGAGCGACCTCGCCGATTTCCATGACTTTGAAACATGTTGTCAAGATAATCACCCTGAACAACTTTTTCTTGCCATGTTATCGCCGCTCGGCCTTAGTTTTCGAGATACACGCAAAAGTATTTTTAATATTATATATTTAATGGTATGTAGCTTTTTGGAGTTTGGGTTAGATTTCAATTAAATTGAAATTCATTTTAAGTTGTAGTTGATTCAATTTAATACTCGTTATTATTAACGTTATAATTGGAAGTATGTCTGCTATTATATCGAAAAATGCAGTTATTCTGTCGTCAAAGTTATGTTGTCGCAAATCTACATAAACAGCTTCACCGGAAACCTCGTTCATAACTGCGTATGCGTGGCAGTGAGAAGTGTTTTTGAAAATTTTATTTCAACACCGCACTCGTTGCTCTCTCGTAAAGACCTAATTCGTTCCAATACGAACTACTCACAAGTTATCGAGGAATTTTTAAGAAAAATATTTCTTCATTCGCATGGTGTTATTCGGTTGAACTAAATTTTTACGTCTAAGCAGCATGTGAAGTATTGAAGTAAAGTTTTCCAAGTCACTTCTGACAGCCTCACGTATGCAGTTGTAAACTAGGTTGTTTATTTAGATCCGTAAAATATGATACGAAGATATAGAGTTTGATAGCTGATGGATGTAAATAGATCGTTAAGCGGCCAAGTAAGCGACAAACGTGTTAACTATGCTCGTGACTGAGTCAGAAATACACACACATATGATCATAATTCATTGTAGTGATACCGATAGTTTTTTGCAAATATCTTGGAAAATAAACCAGGAGGTGGTTACACGTATAGGAAAAAGTTGACATATTTCAAGGTCATTGAAATTGAGATCGTCCCTGTCCTAAATGATTAATTAAATAATTAAAGGAACTTATTTAATTGGAGTTCAATTATAATTGTAGCGCCTCCTCCGAGAATATAAATTAGTAATGCGCTTTGCCTACAATATTTGCCAGACGTTTAAAGCAAATTAAAAAGCGAAAATCGCGCTCTGCTTGTGTTTTCAGCGTTGCCATTCGTCCACCGGTTCACGGCTGTCGCTAGTTTAAAATGTTGCCGTTATTATTTGGTCTTGGGTATTCGATTGAAAAACGAGAAACAATTATAATTGAGTTTCACTTAGGTTCGTCTAATTATATAATTGTAATTCTCTTCCTCAAAATGATTTGGGAGATGTTTAAAGCATCTAACGGCAACCAGAGATTCGAGGAAAAGTGTGTAAATTCAACTATTACAAGAGGAGAAGAATGAAGATTTATTATTATACCTAAACATATTAAAACAAAGATAGCGATTACACAAAGAAAAGATTTAAAAATAAATATCTGAGAAAACCATTCTAACTTATCATCCTAAAGTTATCTTATATGAATTAAGATTCCAAAATCGCATTTGCAAACACATTTACGTCATGCATAATCGATAGATCATAAAATTTGGCGAGCTTCATTCCGTCCATCCCGCTGCTCTACGAATAACATCGATATTAACACCTTCTTTCTTGGCAACAGAAATCGACGCATATGTTGCATTGTGTGTGTGTTTATATCAATACAACTATTCTCTAAGCCGCGTTTGACCCATCGATTCAGCGTATTGTTTTATGCGTTAATAATCATAATTTGTTATTTTTTAAAAGAGATAAAGAAGTTCTTTGTTGAATGTTAATATAGAGCAAATATTTATCTTCTACTTATATTGAGCTACAATAAATAAAGATCGTTTTCTATTTAATGCAGAATTCTTTATCCTATCAGGTATTCTTATTTCAAATTAATCGAGTTTTATTCGACTATTCTCGAGCCTCATAAATGTTAAAGTCTGAATGCTGTGGCTAGTGATCAAGGCAAGTAATTGTCTCGAAGGTCAACCTTTCGAAGAATAAAAAATCATTAGAACCTTCATCAGATAAAAAGACAAGGACTACTCTAGGATTCAACGTTTCGTTGTATTTTGGATTATGTAATCTTATCTTTGCTACAGCTTTGAAAAATCTCCTTATGTTGTTATCCTGCCCTATACTTTTGGTTCTAGTAAACGAGAGATCGTCGACTAAAGACTAGTGAGTGAACAGTATTTAGTTCCTTTTCCAAACTCCTGAGACAGACACGCAAGAACCTCCCAATCTATAGATTTCTCTGGCAAAAGCTCCACCATTAAGGCTCTATCGTACTGCTTAATCGAAAGAAGATGTAATTTCTGGTTATTCTTCGGGAGTACTCCATACCCCAAACGGTTTGCGAACAATATCGTCAAGACCAGGGATAATTTCCGCCATAGTGGATGAGGGTCTCTATTAGGAGAAATTAATAAATTACTATTTGGCCTAATAACTAACGGCTCTTTTACAAGCATTGATCGGTACAATGGATACGACGCCTGCGACGACCAGTCTAGGTTTACTATTATTCCTGTCACACAATGCCTCTTAATCTTTCAAAGAACTCTTGAAATTATAGAAAATGGAGGAAACGCGTAAAAGAAATAATTGCTCCAATTTAACGTGAGTGCGTCTATTGTACTAATATTGGGGTGTTTAAACCAGGAGACATAGCGCTCACATTCCGTGTTTATACGACTAGTAAATAGGTCGATCTCGGGCTTACCGAGATAATTTACGATAGTTCTAAAGACTTTATTGCGTAAGGATTATTCTGTCTTGGGTTCTAGTCTACGAGATTCTCTATCAGCTTCTGTATGTTCTTTGGATTTTATATATGAGGCATAAAGCCAAATATTTCTCTCTTCGCGTCAAGATTTGATTATGAAATTTAACGCGATTGATTATTGAGATTCTGAAACGTACTTCTCTCATTCCGCTAACATAAGAGATGGCTACTATATTATCAAATCGTAGTAAAGTATCGCAATCTCTCGACTCTTTGGTGAAACAACGTAATCCAAAATAGGCTGCTTTTAACTCGACAACACTTATTGCTAATTCATGTTCCTCTTTAACCCTTTGAGCGTTAAACCCTGCGTTGTCCGACGTTGAGCGTGCGCCGTGGACTGCCCATTCTTTACGAAGAAGCATACCGTGGACTGCGTATTTTTTACGAAAGAGCGCAAATTGAGCAGACTAAATCTTCATTGCAAAATATATTGATTGTAACTAAAATAAATTATGCAGTGACCTCAAAAGCATTAATAACCATTTATTTCATTAAGCAATAATAACATGAACAATATAAAAGTTTTAAATTATATTTTTTAAATTGAAAATTTAATAATTTTGTATTATATGGTAAATCTCAAAGCAGGATTCAATACACAAGCCAATGTTACATTTTTTGCATTCGTAACGGGAATCAGTCCTGCGATTATGATTAGTGTAAACAGCGGATCTTCGTCGTGAAGAATGTTTATTATTTTCTTCGGTTATGCAGGATGTAGGGAAATGCCTCTCCTTTAGCCTTTACTCCGCGTGGTGGGGATCTTTGCAAAATATCTTTTATGAGAAGCAGATGAAAATTTTCAAATGTTCCAGTTTCATTATTAGCATTTTTGTAAATAATATATGCATTATATATAGCGAGGTCTAGGAGGTGGAAAAAATATTTGTTATACCATTTTGTGCTTTTTCGAACTCAAAATCATATTGATTTTATCGACGGCGCCCATCAAGGCATTGTACTCTGCTACACACTTTGGTTTTCGCTTTGGTTTGCCAGTTCGATAATTCATTTTTTTTTTTTTTTTGTTTCAACGAAATCATCAGAATGTGAGGTGGATATTAATCCATACGTCTCTTTTATCACGTCACTTTAACGCCACTTTTGGCCTAAATTGAATGGTTATGTGGGAACGCATATATCCGTTCATAGCCTAAATTGAATGGTTATGTGAGAACGCATATATCCGTTCATAGCCTAAATTGAATGGTTGTGTGAGAACGCATATATTCGTTCAAAGGGTTAATCCAAACACCATGAAATCTCTCATTCCCAGGAATCGGAAAAAATTTTCAGTAAAAATTTTGCCGATTTCAGGGATCCACATGCATTAGAGATATTTTGGCGCCACCATTGCACATCCGAATTCAATTCATTTGACAATTTCATATTTCAATCATAGTTATTATCGACCAATTCTAGAGCTACATCTTTCTTTCTTTTGTACTTTTCGTACTTTGCCAATTTTTGTACTTTGAGCTTCTTAGGTAGCGCTCATTTTATATTTAATTTGTTAGAATTGTAATACACTCTTAATATAAATAATACACTCTTCTCTAAATATACGGTAAAATCTTATCGCTTTAAACTATTACGTGTAACTTAACGAATCTTTTGCATTCCTTGAACGAATTAGCCTAAATTAAAAAATCACTTAAATATATTTTACAACAAATAGCCTCATTTCTTAAGCATGGACCTAAGGGTCTTGCGATTTTCGTAAATAAGAAAAATGCCACGCTTAATCTAAACGATAAACGGTTGAATTCACACAAAAGGTTATCGAAATTAAATCTGAAGGGTTTTCTATTCGAATCGAAATTTGCTATGGAAATTAAATATTAGGCGTCTTTTAAGTCGGTTATACTAATAAAACACTCGGGACTTATTAATTTTGACGTCGTCCGCTAATACTCTAATTTAAAATGTTCGGTATGAACGAACTCATTTAACTTTCTCTAGCACATTTGCTTACTAATTGACTAATTATACGTATAATTATAGTAAATTCTTCAATTAACCAATTTCTATTTAACGGTCCATAACTTTAAAAAACCTGAGAATGAAAAGGTATTTTGACATTCGACAGGAATTTTAAGTCTTTTTCCTTAATATTTTAACCTTTCCTGGAACCCCTTTCCAAATAGAAATTCATTCAGCAACGCCTCTCTCAAGTATTTCTGAAATTGCTATTTAAATTGGCCAAAGTCAAATTTCTTTTAATTACACGTTCGTCGCGCCATGAATCGGCGAACAGTTCATTTAGCAAAGCACCGACGGCTGTTGCTGCAGCAATTATTTTCTCTTGTTTTCCGACAATACTCGCGTCCCTCTTGACACCAGTTGACTGAAGAGAATCCCTTATATCCAAATTCAACTTTGACAAGTAAGCGAACAAACAATTTTAGGAGGAGGATATTTCTTTATAACGACGTTCATGTATTCTTTAGGAAGATATTGTTTTATAATATCCTCCCATCATAATGCAATATTGACTCTTATGGCATCTGCCAATTGTCTTTTATTTATGCATCGATGACCAGTTGCCTTAACCGCTTGAGACCCAGGGGTCATTGAAAAAACAGAGTCGAAAAATCTCGAATTGTGCGACAACGCTTGTCTTAATCGATTGCGAAGAGTCAAGCGGCGCTTATTTTACTTTATGAAATACATCTATATTGTTATATATGTAGTATCGGGGAGATGGGCCTAAGAAACGTCGAGCCAACTATAGACAATGCCGCGAGAGCCGAGGCGCTGTCGGCTCCATCAATGCGTTATCGGGTCCTTCAAATAAATAGCTTCGCCGAAAAGACCTACGTGA